ATTATCACTGCTTCATCTTTCAACCAGAGTACTAGAGCGAAGTATGTGATAATGAGGAGTGAGGAGTGCTTCCATAACACTGTCGTATTTTAAAACTTTTCCTTTATATTTATTACATATTTCGTGCAAATTGTCGGAAAAACTCCGGAAATCACAATGCAAATTTTCTGTCGGATTACCGAAATCAAAGCTATGTTCAAATGAAATTTCCATAAATGGAAATTTATGACAAACGAGGTGACAAAATCTTGTAAGTAAGATTAAAGCAATGAAGAGGATATAAGCTAACAATGGACAGCGTAAAACAAAAACGTCTCAGTACCTACACAATGGACAGTGCCAAAGGGTAGCCATACCTCCATGATAGCCCGCATGGAGCTTACAAAGCTCCTCCTATATATACATATATATATATATGAAAAAATCTCGAGACAGACAGTTGAGTTCACTTTTACAATCGAGCAGACAATACATCCTCACCGCTTATCCCGCGGGTAACCCACAACCAACGATATCTTCGCATATCCGCCACCATTGCACAACAAACTACGATATTCTTCTATTCACTAAATACATTCCCGTAACGTATTCCTAACTCAACGACCTATCAACTAACCGACAGTCAAATTATTGTCCAAGGGAACGACAAGAAGTTTGCTAGTTGATCATATTACTTGTTTTTTTTATAACTCGTTTATCATTGCTTACCAACTCACCGTGTAATATACATATATATTTTATACCTTTTTTCTTGTTATTAGCTAGTAATATTGTGCAGGAACAATATTACAGCCCGAATAAATCTGTATCGCTACGAAACGAGTTCAACAGAAAAACAATTTCCCAACATAAATGATCTTGCCATATTTTAAAATAGCAATGTCAATTACATCTGCGTAAGTAATATAGAAGTAGACAGTCAAGAAGGAAGTTGAGGTTTTTTTTTTTAACATGTGAAATTTTTAAGTACTGTTATCATTTTACAGGATCCACATGACGAACTAAAATCGCAAAATGTATTGAGATGATGAAAGATTTGCACAATGTGTGTGCAACAAGATGTGAGCTTAATGCGGATAACCTATGAGGTGTGATCAACAGAACAAAAGCCTTACTTCGAGAGGTGCGGAAGAGACCAAGACCTCATCGTGATAACAAGGTATGGAATTAAGGTATGAAATTATTCAGTTTGTACGTTGGCTTTTTTAATTTGATATTCGTATTTAATCATAAAGCGAAATCTTTGTTAGAATTTTCAGATTATAACATTATGGAACGGATAATGATTAATGATTGACAAAAGCGGCAATTACCTTGCAAAATGAGGACTTATTGCACCGTGCTCAACTTGCTGTTTATTTCATTAGAAAATATTCTGTGACAAACCGTTGCTTGTTACGTATCACCTATGTCGAAGCCGATGGAAAAGTTGCCAGAGGTGAGAAGATCGGTCTTAAACTTTGTTTATAATTGTGATTTATTTGTGCTTGGCTCTGATAAAATTAAATTTGAACTTTTCTTCTATGAAAGTTGTAAGAGTTAGACAACGTCAAAATAAGATAATATATATGTTTTGTAAATTTTAAACAGTCAGAAAAGAAACATTCATTGTGTTAGAGACTAAGTAATCCAAATCAAGGTCGAACGAAACAGTTTATTGTATGCTATCATTTTGGGAGTTTGATACACGATCATTTGTTCGTGTAATTGCATCTTCAGATATAAATGCTAGACGCGTTGCTCAAAATCATTAGACTATTAGTGATGCTGTGACTTTGTAGTGTTGGTGCATATTTTTCTATTTTTCAAGTAAGAATTACGACTCTCTCGTTTGACAGTTTTGATTCTCTGAAATTCCAGTGATGCCCCGATACAAACATATAACGATGATTATCATTTTTAATACAAGGGTTATTGGATCTGTATGAAGCATGTTTCCGATGAACAGTTAATTAAACTAGCTTTTAATTTACAAAAACAAATGGATTACCAGTTCTAGGATACAGAAAATAACAGCCGTTATCATCAGACAGTTGAAGACCCACTTATTAACATCCAGATCATAAATAATCAGTTCGTGAGCACATCATTTGTTCTATTTATACTGATATTAATTAATGGAGAAAGTGATAATGATGACTTCTTGTTTCCAAATACATTCAAGCATAGTATATCGATAGAGTTGATAAGATTTTTAAGGAGAACCAGTTGAATAGGCTTCAGATTAAATCTAAAACAATTGAATAGATTTTAAATTAACCTGGTTTAATGGTTTCGATTCAAGTAAAAATAGTGGAACAATAATGCAGAAATGAATCATCGATGAATTCAGTTGCATCAATGAACCTGCTTACACGTTATGATATTATCAATGGAAAAACTTACAATGAGCAAGCACAAAAAATTTTCGAAAGTGTTACAGAACGTTTGAGGAAATATCCCTTTGTTCTCACAAAAATGGTCAGTATATTACAAAAGCATGTATGTTCCATCAAACAGGTACCCAGTTCAAATTCAAATTGTCAAGTTATAGAGTATGTCCTACATAGCTTCCTTAATTTTCGTTAAAAAAAAACGCTTCTTCCATGTTAAAAAATATATACCATTTGTTATAGGTCATTGTGGTTGGTTCAAGAAGTAAAGAAACAACGGAACAGATGTGTCGCTTGTCTTAAACCGTTTTAATTGTCTAAGAATTTTGATATCCTTAGCTCCCGGAAAAGGTAAATATGAAAGTTGAGAATTCCTTTTTTTTTGATGCTGTAATCGTTTTTATCCATTTGGTTGAGCTTCTCCAAAATTATTGAAGCTAGCGCGTCTCTTGGTATCCGCTGAATGACGCGATATTTTGGTCTGAAGAAACTCTCATGCAGCTGTTACTGTCTGTCGATACTGAAGTTAAGCTACGAACTCTTTAGAATTCATTCAGTTTATAGATTCATGGCTGCAAAATGTAAACGACCACTTGAAACTATTAGTAACCGCGACAGATTTTTCCACTGCTTACATCTGTGAAAAATTTGAATGCTCGTTACCAGTTACATCGGTAAAGGAACTGAAAGATGTATTGAAATAATTTCTACTTTTCTATTGCATTAATACTATTCTCGTTATTCTCTTCATTCATTGAACTTTGTTTTTTATCTATTTTTAGGCTTTCATTTATGTTTTACACCATTTCATGCAGATGAGAGTTCAGTTTAGCTTTCTAAATTTAAATTTGTGATTTACTGGTTGGGGTAAACAAAAGTTGTTCATCAAGATAATCATATTTGAAAGAAATAATAAAATGAATTTGTTAGTCCTTTCCTGTAAAAAATAGCGAACTGGATTCCCTATAGTTTTTGTTGCAAAATTTGTTAATGTAACCAAATTTTGAGCGCACCGTTTGTTTTATTCTTGTTGACAACAGTAATTTTGACACTTTTTTTCGATTTAAAAAATAAAGTAACATTCATTGGCGGTCTTGTTTGGTAAATGCTGGGAACTTACTTTTTGCTATAATAAGCATTTTGCATTACTAGGTTATTTCATACTTAGCGGGGAATCCATTCTGCCCAATTTGAAGCATGTTGAATGAGTTAAGACACTGACTGACCCAATATTTTCACCCATCAATATTAGGTAATTTAAGCACACCCTCAGTTGTGATCAGTACGTATGTATTTGTGACCAATATGGTCTTATCATGATAAAGGATCAGTATAACACTGAAAAACTACTGGGTCTTGCATCCGAAGAGGGCATAGATAGAAGGGTTGAAGCCATAAATTCAAACACTTTAAGGTACATTTAGAACAGGAAGACGTTTGCGCTGAAATCTGAAGTAAATGTTTTCGATGACGTAAATCAGGGCTGTTCATAGCTATTCACTTTTTTTTACAAATTTTACAGATCTTCCGAAAGTTCAATTTTCAACACACTGATGATGGTGCTGCCCAACAGGAACACTCTATGCTTCAACTATACTGCAGTAATAGCAGCATAGGTCGTAAGCTGATAGTTGGTTGCTGCAAATTCGTTCCTTTTTGAAGTTTCATTTTCCAGCTAGATGTATTTATGACAAAATGACTTCTAGAAATCGTAGTATGCCGTAATGTCCAAATGTTTCAAATCCAGTTTAAACACTTGTATTTCTTTATTAAAAGAAAGGAGCATTACGATTGATGTCCTCATATTTATATAGATTATCGCCTCATTTCATCAAAAAGCAATTATTGGATGATAAAGTGGCTCTCATTTTTAAGTAAGTATCCATAGAATTGTTTACTAAAGAGCTCTAGTCTTAATAAAATTGTTTCAATGGTTTTCATTCTACTGCAATGAATTTCGAACTTTTTATTTTCTAGATATCCTCAGATACTTTGTCTCAGGTATCCAAATATTTCTCACCTTTATGCAACAGTTGTACATGAAGGACTCTTGAAGTTAATTGATGATTTATGATTTTCCAGGGCCATTGACTTTTTGATTCACTTCCATGTAAAGAATGTTTTTTGAAATTCTCTCATCATAAGAGCAAGCAAATTCCGAAGATGGAATTGGATGATACTGCTTATTGTATTATGATTTTTGACCATTGAACATTCTTTATTAACATGGTCGTTTTTTCAAATATTTTTTGGATTGCTAAGTAAAATGAATGGAAAGAGTCAAAATGATGACTTTGAATGAGCTGAGAGCGATAGTAAACGAAAACATGATCAGTAACTCCTTGAATGGATTTCAGACGTACATTTTTATTGTTCCATATCTCAAAATCATTTCAGTAATTAAAGGCCGATAGAGCACAGCATGCAAAGTGAATGGCACAAGAATTAAAACAAGAAAGCGTTGAAAAATAGACAAATGGAAGTGGAGATTGATGAAATCGGATGTCCACGAAAAATACACGTCAGTGCGTAAGTGTTCCAATTGAACTTCTAATATTCTCGGGAAATCTCCTTGAAAAATTCTAAATTTATTTGAGCAAAAATTGCACTCACTCTATAGCATGGAACTGTTTAGCGTGTGGATTCCACAACACCACATTGATCTTGCAATTTAAGACCTCATTAATATCTGAGAAGAAAATAGTTTTGTGGCTCGAAGAGAATTTTATTTTGAAAGTACTTCTGAATCCTAATCGAAAGTGTCGGAAAAATATTGACCAAATATTTCTGCGCCTCTATTTGAATGCAGAGAATTCTTGGCTAGTCTGATGGTGAAATATCTCAAAACTCAGTTTTCCATCAAAGACATGCCCTGTCTTACTTAGAGTAGTGCAAGACTTGTTAATAAAAGAAGGGCAAGCGGATTTGTTTTCCATCCACTCAGTCGGCATATTTAAAATTTTTCTATGGTATATTCCTTCATAGTTCATAGGACGAAGCGTTTAATATATGAATGAAAACAAAACTCCGGTCTGATAACGGAACATCGCAGAACTCCGGTGTCATTCATAATTTCTACTTAGATTCATTATTATGCTATTATTTTTTATACTGATTTCTCGTATGAGACTTATGGCTAGCATGGTTAGCACGATTAATCCGCATGATCAAAGTTCATTTTGCTAATTTTTGTCTTTATAAATATGTGCAGTTCACATATTTGACATTTCTTCCCGACAAAAAAATTCATGAAAACGGAAGAATTTGGTAGCTATCATAAACCAACCCGAAACTTATGGTCTTCCAGATTTTTTCATAGGACAGAAATTTCGAAATTCTTTCTCGCTATTTTTATTCAAATTTCATTCTTTTAATATGGATTGAGCACTCTGCCCAGTTGACCAGATTTATTACTTCCGTACGAAAATATTACTTTCATACAAAAAATAATTACGAAAAAAAAAAACTACCAATTTCAGAAACATGCAAACGGGTGAAATAATCACATATGTGCTGGGCATATTTGCCGTCATTCTAATCATTTCGACAATGCTTTATTACCGATACTGCAAAAAAAGTAAGTCAGTTGCGTTCCCACACTCCAAACTGTATCTGTGAAAAATAAACGTAATTACGAGTCACCTTACAATAACCAGAAAAAATCACTAGTTACTGAATTTAATTAGCTTCTTCCATGCAACTGTAGAAATTCTTTAGTTTGAGAAATTAATCATGCGCTTGAACCTCTAGTAATCACACATCCAAACTCATTTCACTCAAAATTATGCGATATGAATGAAGCCTGAATTGATTTAAAGTTTGAAGTCCCCGGCAGTTCCTATACCAACATTGTGCGCAATACAATATTGTAGCGAACTCACGCAGCAGGACATTGCTAACAAATTCGCGATGATTACCTTTATCCAGAATTTTGCAGTCTATAAACTTGCTTTCCAGCATAAAACACTATGTATCCATGCGCTTAAAAAAATATAAAACCGGAAGTAGCTTTATAGCAATAGTTTATCAGCCTTCAGCAAATTAAAAAAATATATGTTAGGATCTCTCCTCCAAAAACTGCAGCATGTATTTCAAGATCTCTCAGTTCGAATTTGGGAAGAATCCAACTTCAATAGTTTCCCCACTCAGAAGTTGTAAAACGAAACCTTCATGAGAGAGTCTAAACGAGAAAGATTCCGGACATACGCTACTCCATTTTAAAATTATTCGTAATCATTAAAGTGACAGATTCTTCCTTATCAAAATTATGTCACGAAAAAAACACATACTATCTATTGATAAAAGCGAATTGTTTATAGAGCAAATACATTTAGCTACTAAAAAAACAGCCCTACAAAACTGCAGAAAAACGGAAGCCCTTTGTTTACTGTAGCAATCCTAGAATATCTTAAATTAAAACGATTCACAAACTTAAGTTCTTGTGCATTCTGCATAATACCAGAAACATAATTTAAAACTGTCTTTTCCAAAACTAAAACTCTCACACAAATTACTAAGCAAAACTCGAAAAAAGATATTTTGTTTTTAACCAGTTATAAAGTAGTTAAGTAGGGATAACTAGCGAATATCAAATGTAATACATGGTCACAATGTTTGGGAAATCATTCAAAAATATTCAGAGAATATTTCAAATATGCAAATTTTTACACCAATACATTTGCATAACAAAAAATAAATGAATTATGTAATGCAAGCAGCGCTGTAGATCCCGATTTTATGGTCATGAATGCATCAAAAAATCTATGCATAGAAATTTAGATTTCTTATGGAATTGATTTTTTTCTTTTAAATTTTATTATTTAAAATTATTTGGAATGAAAAAGGAAATACAGTAGTGATAAGTGAACATAATTCCTCCCAACCGTAAATTCCGAGATATGTAAATAGCATATAAAACATAAACACCGGACTGATACATGGAAAGAAAAGAAATTGTCAAAACAAAGTATAGATGACAGCTGTCAATTATATACAAGAACTTACAAATCATATTAGATAAAGCACTTCCGTAAGTCACATTATTTAAATTGAATTTCCATAGCAAAAAAAAAAAAAAGACCTGGCCGTATTGGAATGAAACAGTAGTGTATAAGGCCTAATTACTTTGTCATCAAGTAATTTATGCCGTTTAATGTTCTCTGCATTGAAAACACACCAAATGTTCAATGGAAACTAAGTACGGTAGTGCCCTCGTTACCGAAAAGCTTGCAAATGAAATATTTATTTCACAGCTTCTCGCAAAATTTTAATTTAGTATTTAATGATTCCGGCAAACGAGTTAGTAAATCGTGAACTATTATATCAAAGCTTGTTCGATTCACATATAAAATCAGCAATTTCCGGCAAAATTCGTTCGGCTTCCGATAGGGTTACTAAAAATGATGCATTGCTGACTAAATCGAGTGACTTTCGTGCTGGCCAAAGACTCCATCTCGAGCTTGTTGTATGTTGTTTATATGAAGAATCGGGTTCACTAAATGAAAAACAGGTGTCTAGGAATAATCGAAGTTTTTCATTTAATTTTATATTTTGTAATTGATAGACTCCCCTTGTTGTTGCTTTGCTTCTCCTAAGTAGATGTTAATGGGTTGTGACGACCAATACAGTAAATCTTTAGTTAACAAGAAACTAACCTTATGTCTTGCACATATGCAATAAGTGCTCTAGCTGAATTTTCGATCATCAATCTGAATTGTCTTATAAATCCCAAACGAGCACTTCTTTCAAATGGCAATAAATCCATTCTTACGAGAAAATTTGTAACGCGAGGATCTGCATGGCAATTTCGTAGTTCACTATAAACCCAATATCGTAGGGAACATCGACATTATAAATTAATGAGGATTTGAATTACATTAAGGAGATATAGAAATTGCAACACATCCAAAAGAATTCAAATGATGAGGGTTTTCAAAATATGCAAAGCATGATTTCTATAAAGGCAACACCAACATTTTTGGCATTCTTGAGTCTTTGAAACCAACACCAGTTCCTTTCAGTATCTGCGTGATATCGTCCCTTTGCTTGAGAAGCTTCAGTGTACGATGTTTTGGATGTGGTGAAGAAGTACACACAATTCGTCGATCCAAATCAATCACTGTTAACGGCCAGTGCGATTCGGCACCAGCATACATTATAGTGATCAAGTCAATCTAAATCAAAATCGAATTGTATATGAAAATTGTTAATTTTATATGAAAAAGTTTATCTATCTTTCTTTGTCCAAATTTATATCTCATTTTAAAAATTGCTAATAGTTTCTGCAATAGTTTGCACATAGCTCCTGCTTTTGTAGTATCAAAGCTTGATTGAATTATTTTAATAAAGAAATACTCTTTGAATAGCCTGAAGGCGAAGATAAGGAGAATAAGGGTGCTGAAACGGTTTGATACATAACCATCGCCATTCTGGTGCAACAAATAGGCACAACGTCAACAGCATCTATAAAAAAAAGGAAAAAAGAGAAAAAAAAGTGGCGAAATTTCATACAATTCTTCGAGGATACATATTTAAAAAAAAAAAAAATCTACTTTGATAACATCAGCCTTCTTGTCACCAACAATAACACAATGCGACTGCGATAACAGTACTGCTGTTATAGCTTTTGCCAAAAATGAATTGTCTTGCAGTTTCCCACCGCCAAAATATGTTTGTCTAAACTGTAAGCATAACAGTAAAATGTGGAAAAATTCGGTTTTCAATTTCGTTTTTACAAGAAGTCTGGATAATACTGTCAAGCTAATATAAGCAGGGAAAGTAAAACTATGCAAACTTGAAGAATTTCCAATTAGAATAGGAATATATTTGCTAGGAATTTGCAAATTAAATCTGTAATAATTTCTAAATAGACGAGACGAAGACAAAATTATTCTAGAAGCTGCCTCACAATTGAAATGTGTGCTGTACTAAAACATTGATAATGATTGCACCAATGACTCAAACCTTAAACAGGCGAAATTTAAGGTTTTAAACATTCTTCCTCCTCTTTATATCATCCGTTATTCCTCTACCTTTCTATATCTTCATAAATGTAGAAGTTTTTGTGACAAATGAACAAAAATACTACAATTCTTCTTAACCATACAATACAATGAGTACCCGAATATCATGAGTATTTTGTGATAACAACGGGTAAGCTTCACAAACACCAATAAATGACATCAGTTTCGATATTTCTTTGGTTGCACGGCATATAAAATCTTCCATACATTCCTGTAATCTTCAGAATTTCACAAAGAAATTTTGTCAGATTTTCTATGTTCTGAGGAAAAACGGAACTTTTAGAATGGAAGATTGCTGAAGACATATGGTTTATGCAGGTAGGTATTAAACAAGCAGTCACAGAAAGAGGAAAGTAAAACTTTGGAAAAAAATATACTGTTAAATGGGAGATCCGCAAACGCGGTATAATATCCATGAATGCTTCCTCAAATATACTCTGTCTTTCAGCATACCACTCCCATCTGCAACAAAATTTCTCCGTATTAATTGCTTTTGATGTGCGTTTCTCTCATCCAAAAAGCAAACTAAAATCTTCAGAGTGGAAACACCAAGAAAACTGTCCTCAAATTTTTTCTGTTATTTTACTGAAAAATTTTAACTTTGTATATAACAGAACTCAGATGTATGCAACCATATTGTGGCGGCACTTAAAAAATACATAAGTTTACATCACCGCAAAGTTAACAGCAACAGCAACTGTTGTTATTACAAAAAGGAAAAAAATAAAATAAAGTGGTGAACTAACCTTGTATAATCACCAAGAAGCGAAATTGCGCACATTGGATGGTCGTGGCGAGCACCACCATTCACTTGAAACAAATATGAACCAACAAAAAGGCGACGTTTTGGCAACAAAATCAACTTATGTATTACTGGATTGGATGGCATAGGTGTGCTGAAAGAATCCTATTCCTTTGCATATAAGCTTTCAGAGAAATTATAACCGAAAAATGGTTAAAAATTTTTCCCCAATTACTTTCTCATAGGAAAACTGTTAAACCAAGAGCCATGTGAACTTTTCAAACGCCGATATTCTGCAGATCCAGCAAATCCTTTACACCTGATTTTTGAATGTAAGAAAATATTCCCAATTTCATGACAGTTATTATGAATGCGACAAGAAGATAGACCAGGCATCAGACCTGCAAATTTGTTCAGCAAGGACGAATTTGGCGACATATTCTTCATCAGAAAGCTGGACTGTACTATTCTCTCCAACCAAATCACAAAGTATTTCATAATCAGCTTGTCCAATATCTTGAACATTTTGCTCTTTCCTTACATAGTTTTCAGTTACCTATAGATAACTTCGAGTAGTACATATCGATTTCTTAAAATTATTGATTATATTTCATTTCACAATCTTAGCATTCTAATCCAATGACTTAAGTATTGTTTAACAGTAAGTACAGGTATTAAACAATATTTGGGCGTTTTGATTGGAAATGTTAGAAAACCAACACCAAAGTTCTTGGAATACGGAATACTCTACTCCTTTCCCCTTCCTCTTTCAGAGATTGATGTGGAAGAATAAGTCTCGAAATCGAAGCTAAAAATTATGGTCAAAAATACTCCTGTCATCCTCAAAATTGTTTTGCCATTTATTACAACAGTTTCCTAATGATAGCGTGATGCTACCCCAAAATACATGTGCGTATGAAAGATAATACTCTTAAACAATTAAGTGAGCTGGATAAATTTAACGACAAGTAAGCTGCACAATCCTTTCGATTCAGCTTACGACTGCAGAAATCATACGTTATTGTCTGTTATGATGTGATCATAATTAACAGTGCATGATTCTTGTGTGATTTCTTCACTTGATTTGACATTTAATATTTCTTTTGTATGTGAAGAGCCCATCGTGCTCAACTCACTATACATTGATACAGTGCCCACTATACCCGAATCCACACCCGACGAAACCATTCCTGAAATATAGTAATTAAATATTCCTCAATTTTGCATAACCTCCTGTGCATCAAAGAAAGATTATAGAACTTGAGTAAAAATAAACTTTGCGAAAGTTCTTGAATACCTTGGAAATCTTCGCTATTTTTTGCAGATGTCCCATTAAGCACCAGTAAATCTCCAACTCCATTTAGTGAGTTCATTCCAGCAATTTCTTCTCCCTGATTTAACGATGACAAATTCATTTTAAAAGATGGTAAATTCAATGGTAAAATCAGCTCTAATATAACTGACATGCATCCGTCATTGTAATTAATAAATTAATTGAATTTTGTTCTGAACTAAGAAATAGAATATAACTCAAGTAATTGGAAAAAATGCCTTGTGAAAGCTGCTGTCCTTATCACTGTTTGCTGAACTTCCAAGGTCGTTATTCCTTGATGCAAAATTTCTTGCCTATAATATATAGAAATAAATAAATATATGAAGAAATGAAGTGGTAATAGACAGCGAATTTAAAAATACTAGCTCCCAGCACTACTTGCACCCAATCATTATCTTCGCGTGCTTTCATTTTTGCTTATACCACTATGAACAGAATATTTATTAACTATCGTTTATAAAGTACAAACTAAGAAGAATATAGAATTAACATACTAAATGTTTCATATGACCACTGTCACTAGCAGCCACCGTAGTAGTCCCATCGATAGTTGAACGACTTTCAGTCATGAATTCATCCAAATAGAGTCCTTCATTACTGCACTTAAGCATATTTATTTTGGAAACATCGTGAGGCATTTCAGAAGTTTTTACTTTCTGCTTAAAACAAAGCAGAAAGTAAAAAATGTCCAAGAGTTACACGGAGTGCTCGAAAATGATTAGATGGAAGCATCGATATTAAATAAAACAGAGAGTACGACGAATGGAAAAAATTATGGAAAGCTAACATCACAGTGATAACAAATGAGATCTCCACTGGTATCAGTACACATGGTACATATATGCATGTCGGATATTGCTTCTGCCAATAGCTTACTCTGGAATCACTGTACATTTCAGGTGTCGTGATAATTGATTTTTTTTATTAGAAAAATCTCGAAAAGAGTCGACACGATATTTCAGCATTGAATCTGACGAGTTACAAGAAAGTAAACAGTTTACCCTGTAGATATCATCAATTTCTTCATAATCAGCACCACTGCCACCACCTTTAGTTACGGAAGAAGTGAAACTCGAATCATCACGTGAACTATCCGAAAGCGAACTTTTGTCGCTTGATGTAAGTTCGCTTGCTGCATTAACTGCTTCCCAAGTGAAACCCAATTCAGGTCCAGTCATATAATCAAATGATGACCATATCACTTTTTGAACGGCACATAGATGACGGACTGGAACTTGAATTTTGCGTGATGAATCCTAAACAGAGTAATAGTAGTGGTGAAAGATTCAGGAAAAGGGAGGATTAGTCAGTTACCCACCTCAATAGCTTCGTAGATTCGAAGGAATGTGTCCGCCTCAACCGCTTCCGAAACCATTTCCGTCATTGTCAGCGCTTTCGCCGTCGCAAAACGAACAACCTAGCAACATACATTTCCCGGCCAACGGATTCCGCAAAGAATGACAATTATGAGATGTTCTCACCTGTTGATCACTACCGGAGGGACGCAATGAAAATAGCCGCATCCCACGTTTCCGTTTTTATTTCTAACGGTTACGAAGGCGGTTTTTTTGTACATTAATTATGAGTGTATGATCGCCTATGTTTATATTAAAATGTTAAATGTCTAGGGATTGCTACCTTTATTTAAGTGAAATAAGAATAAGAGACGATGAGAAGAGCAGTCTTTTAAGTTTCACATAGTGAAAAAACGTGAGATATGACTGGAGATATACTATCTTTCTTAACATCGCTTCTTTTCTATCGTATCCTGAATTAATAACTTTGGCAGGAAAAAAAGATTTAGGGTCAGCAAGAAATAGAAAACAGATTAAAAACAGTCATCCATTTATATGATCGTTAGAACATGAAACGCGGTGAGCGGTTCAAAAGCCAAGTGCATAATAATGCAAGCAAGATCGGTTCTTAGAAATATGTCTGCATAAGTTGGAAAAGTTTATATTTCATAATATGGAAAAAAAATAGTATCTTGATAAACGAACAGTTTCGCAATAACTTCTTAAAACGGAAATTACAGCAACTCAGGTAAGGTAATCCAGTTGGATTACGCTTATTTTATGGAACTCGATCTTATTTGACAGTGAGGATATTTGAATTATCATAGTTATCTGACACACTGTGTCTATGTATGTATGAATGTGTCATTGTCTGTTATGGTAATTGAACGGCACATAAGAACCATGTAGTTCTTTTTTCTTTTTTCTTGGAGTTTATGCACAAAAACGAATGTCAATCGCTTGTTTGTTTGATTCCGGGCACCACATGTGATTTCACTCTTTACTAACACGACCACAGTAGTAGTCGCTTGTTGAAGTAATCCTGATTTAAGAATTAGAGCTTATTAAGCTGGAGCTTCCTATTCAT